ATGAATCACGTAGGTCGTACTCGCGAACCGTGCTAAATCTGTGATTTCCTACTTTTTTTATTTGCCTAAGAACACCGGCGTTTCTGACTGTATATTTTTCTTGCTTCCTTCGTGGCACGATTTATGCAGAGGTTCTTCGTCGAACCCGTAGACTAATCTGTTTACAATTCTCGCATTTGTTGGTGGCAATGCAATTGATCCATCGATTTTATACACCAAAACAATGAGAACAGAATCTGTAATATTTAAGCTCATCTCGAGATTGAAAGGCGACCTATTTAATAGTTTGGAATTTTCGTGAGTATTCATTTTCTGGAACTGAACGTCGATAAAGCAATGGTAATAATTCCACGGCATTGTAAATACAGGGTGGCCCATAATTATGTTAACACCCCCGAAGGGGGTGATTCCTAAGGTTTTTTCGAGGAACTTTTTCCTTAGCGAAAATTCAATCCGCGGCTTCGTTTACGAATTATTAACGAAAAACACTGGCCAATGAGAGGCGAGCTCGGCTAGCGCGAGGCGGCTAAGTCAACAATCGCGTTGCATATCACGCCTCTCATTGGTCAGTGTTTTTCGTTAATAACTCGTAAACGAAGCTTTGGATTGCATTTTCGCTAAGGAAAAGATCACTTCAAATGACCTCAGGAATCACCACTTTCCCCTTTATGGGACACCCTGTATAATACCTTCCAGATTTCGTTACCATAATATTAAATACCATGTCAATCTGGAATTCACCAGGTTAAATCACATTTTTAATACATTGTACAATTTACGAGATTCTGCAATTTAAAAAATCTCTATGTATGTATGCATATTAATGCTAACTAGGATTAAATAAACATAACTGATCTGTACATATTGGCATCAATTTCAATAAATAACTAAATATCTTTTGTTTCTCTTAAAAGGTGGCAAATGGTTCGTCTAAACTGTCTTTTCAATTTCTTCAGGTGAAAATCTGCGCCCGACCATCCAAAGTCGCTAAAACCTGATAAAATCTAAATACCGTAGTTAATCTTCGAGCTTTCTGAAACCCTCTTTAACAGATGTATCGCCTAGGCGCTGCCATAAAACTGTTCCAAGAAGAATGGCGCGAAAGAAGCACGGAAGACCGAAAAGTGCTCATCTAATTAATCCCATAATGTTACAGCAGCTACTCTCGCAGTAAAGTGAAACTTTCTGAAAGGATTCATGAAGTTGGCAAAGCGGCCTCCTAACTCGGAAAGTTTTTAAGTATCTTGCTTACCATATTCACTTAAATCAAGCTCCCGCTGGAGGAAACAGATTTTTGATTATTAAGGGGTTGTCCTCCCGCGACAAATGAAATTCGAAATGAAATTCGAGGAGTTCGAGTTTCTTAGGGTTTCGGAAACGTTGTTCGAGACAACGGCCGCCGCGACGATGGGTGTGGGCAAGAGAATACAGGCCACCAGCCGATGGAGCACCCAGCGACGGAAAGAGGAGGGTGTACCATGAATATTTCAACCCCCGTAAGTGTCTCTCGCCACGACTGCAGTAGCTGTTTCAAGTTTAACGAGCCGGCTCTAGTTTTAGCTCAGGACTCCCCCCGCTTTCACCAGGATCGATACAGTTATTTTTTAGCGTACACGGGAACACGTGCTTCCCAAATATCCCATCGATGGAAGAAATACAAGCAACGCGATCCGCTACGCGGCCGGAATGTTTGAGAGATCTTATAATCGGATCTCCATGCAAATTACAATTTTCGTGTATTATTCGATGAAAACCTATACGAGGAACAAATTTAGTTTATTCTCTGGGGAATATATTGTGACAGGGAAACTACCCCTCGCAATAAGTATTTGGCCAGAAGCAACACACAGCAACGAATTAATTTTGATAATGAAATTGTTTGCATCTCGAATAATATGATACAAATATAAAAGACTTGGCAACTTTAAATTGGACAATTTCTTGAAAAATACAGTGAACGAAGGAAACGAAGAAGAAAATGGGAAAAGGCCAAGCGAGACTCTGGAAAATGTCCCATTCAAGCTTGCAAAAAGGCGAACAATAATTTGCTTTACACTCGCAGTATCTTGATTTTAAAATATTGCCCGTTCGTATATGTAATATATGTAATATCGAATATGTAATATAATCCTATCATATTATTATTTTTGCCCATGATAATATGTCGCTTCGCAATATTTATTTTTATATTCTGCCTTTGTTTTAGTTTATTAATTTCTCTACCAAGACCAATTTTGGCCTTGACTATGCCGATGAAAGTTTTGTACAAGACTCCCGAGGAGTCCGAAATGCACAATTATTTACCGTGGGGATGAGGGATGAATATTTTCTTTGAATAAATTGAATAGATTGGAAATACTGTAATAATATTCTGAAACTTTTCTAATGTCTTCATTTTTTACTAAACGCGGCGAGAAAGAAATTCAGGTCGTTTTGACCAGTTTGAAAAAAAGTTAATCTCCAAATACTTTAAGAAATATTTCTCGACATCTCGACCTTATTACTTTTTCCGCCGAGTAAACCAGTGTTTAAAATGAAAAATTGCAGACGCCCGAACAATGTTGTACCCCAGAATTCTAGTTCCATTTGAAACCTTACATTTCCCCCTTGCTTTCTTTTCTAATTACAGCCAGGAAAAAGTGCGTCTTGACCTAATTGAGGGCACCACCCTATACACATATTCTCTATTTCCCTCAATGAACCATTTTTTACTTGTTCGTTATGCAGTTCATGGAAAACGGGTCGCACGGTTCTTTCCGGATGAAATATACAGGGTGTTCGACGGCAACTTAAAGGAAAGTTCGAAGATTCATCGAATACGGGGCAAAAGTTGATTTCGGATTCGTTTTTTATGTTATTATCGGTTAAAATTCGCACCGCGTATCATATTGAAATCCGATATTAAAATTACGCAGTATCTCGCCGGCAGATTGCTAATTAATATGCAAATTATAGATTATTTTTCGAAAGCCAGAATAAGTGGAACATTTACTTTGCCAACTGAAATGTTTCAAAAGTGGAGCATAAATGAATATCGTTAACGCAATATAGACTGTCTAAAAATTTCTACGAAAAACATATCGAATGGGCTCTTTTCCATTAATACGGACGAATTCGATAATTATGAATTTGCGAGATGTAAGTATATCAAATTTATTTTCGTGGCAGAATTTCGTGAAGCTCGAGACGGAAACGGTACATAAAAATAGACATAACACATTATGGGTTTCTGTGTGCCGAGCCTACTGCTATACCTATCCGGAATTTTATGGCTGATTGCAATTGCCTCTTCTCATGAACAACGGTTATCTCAGAAACTACTCTCCGAAGTGGACTCGAAAATTAAAGGTAAGATATGAGAGGAAATGAATGAGAAAAACAAACATACAAAAGTCTACTTGAAACAGATACTGTTCTTTTCCGATGCAAATTCGAATGTCTTTTCAAACCTAAATGGTCTTACCATAAAGCGTAATCTTCCAGCTTTAATTTAACCTTTCAAAAGTTCCAAATTTTTAATGAGAATATTTCTGTATTAACCTGCAGTCGAATTGTAGTATACAAAAATAGAATATATAAAAAATGACGAACTTTAATCTTGAATTCTACAACAAAATCAGATGCAACTTTGCACGAGCACTTGAATTATAGCTGAACCTCTCCTTTATAAACATGCCAAGTTAAGGTTGTCCCATGCAATTTTAAATAGTATCTTTTGGAGCGTGGCTCGATATGGTTGCGATGTCAACGGCAACATGCGAATCAAGCAACACGTCCAATGAAACTCGTCGTCGTTCACTGGCTGTTCAAATCTGACCCCGTCATTTTAAAACTGGTTCCCGGAATTGAATAGAATACTCAAGTGTATAGAGTCGGTTAAAGTCAGACGATAAAGTTCAAGCAGCAGGGGATGCCTTCATCGAAAGTAGGCCGACAGAATTTTTCGCCGATGGGAACAAGAACGTGTCACGCGATGATAAAAATATATCGAAGTCTACAGCGATTATCGTAACCCTGTGTGGCTCGGTGTAACTTTGAAGTCACATAACGATTTATCATATTTTTTTTTGTCACGATGTTGCGCAAATATTTCGTTCTATTGCTCTTTTGCATCAGAGAGAATCCACTCTTTAAATCTTTATAATTTGTTGTTAAATTATATGCAGAGGTTTCTTCGTTTCAAGTTACATAAATATTTTTATAATTTTATCTGCTTTTTGATAGTTCAAATATCGTACTTTCATTTTCTCTTTGTTTCATTTCAAAAACTGCTTTCAAGAAATACGAGTTGATTTATCCTTCGGAGGACCCTCGTTTTGTAGTCGCAGTTCTTTTCTACAAGAAGTCCCATAATTATGTTAACACCCGGATAGGAATGATTCCTGAGATCATTTCAAGTAACATTTTCCTTAGCGAAAATGTAATCCGCGGCTTTGTTTACGAGTTATTAACGAAAAACACTAACCAATGAGAGGCGAGCTCGCCTAGCGCTAGGCGGCCGAGCCAATCAGCGGAACTGGGCTTCGACCGCTCGTTGGTCCGGCCGCCTCGAGCCAGCGTACCTCGCCACTCATTGGTCAGTATTTTTCATTAATAACTCGTAAACGAAGCTTTGGATTGCATTTTCGCTAAGGAAAAAGTTCCTTCAAATAACCTCAGGAATCACCCCGTTCCGGGTGTTAACACAATTATGGAACACCCTGCATAATTACTGTCTACATATTTTTGCAAACCGCTCTATTATTTATATCAGAACGCTACCGTGAACGATCATAATCACCAAAAATGCAGAAATGTCTTCATTGTTCTATTTAAAGCGTTGCAGTTCCTCTTGATCAATTTTGAACTCGTTACACAAGTAATCCTTCCAGTACCGAAGTGCTGACTCAAATGGAAGAGTATAATAATAAAAACATCAACCTTTCTATTGTATTAAATGCATAGAAATTTGCGACTCGCAAACGTACTTATATCGACGATCCCATTGCCCCCGAACTTACAGTATCCCGTTGCAGAGCATTCGGGCTGAAGACCATCATGCGCCTCTGCTTCTTGATCAGTTTACTCAGCCGCTGGGTTCTCTGCGCGCAGGTTAAAGGCTTCCCAGGCGAGTGCCACTCGTCCTGTATCTCGTCCTCCAGATCCTCGACGCTTTTCTCCAGCGGAGGACTGTGTCTCGGTGTGACGGTGCTAAGTGGCACAGCTCTGGCGACGAGACTCTCGCTCCTGACGCTCCACGTAGACGCGCCGTACTTCTTCATGTTGATCAGGTCGCCGATGCTGCCTCTGACATAAGCGTTCCCTAATTGCAGGTTCGTCCTGGACAGGGCCGGCGAGTGCGGAAGCGACTCGGAGCATTTCTCCGTGGACCTCACGATGTCCGGCAGGATCGGCTTGCTGTGCAACTTGTCCAGATCCGATAACGACGAGCCACGCCGCATCCTGAGATTCGGCAGCAGCTGATTGCTCTTCGCGATCCTCTCCTTCTCGCGGTTCACGCTGCGCGAAGACAGGGACCACTTCATGGCGAACAGACCCGCCTTCAGCGGGAAGAGCAGCGCCCATTCGAGCGATTTTTCTCGCGCCTCCATCGTCGCCACCTCGAGCTCCTTTCACTCTTCCAAAGAACGCCGTTATTCGTCAGGAGCACGGAAAAGCGAGCATCGTCCCGCGATCGTAAAAATCCTCGATCAGAAACACCCGGGGCTTCCGGAAGGCGCGCGATCCCTATCCAGCATGTTCGCGCGCGCGATTACGAGCCAGATAACATCATCCGCACGATACCGCGGCGTCCGGTCAGCCGCTCCGGCCTTTCCGGCCGGCCCCCGTTATCGAACTTCGGAAGTCGCAATTTGCAAGACGTGTTCCGTGTTCCTGTCCGAACGTTCCTGCGATAACTCAGCCGGTGTCCCAGCCACGAATTCTAATGCACCGTACGCGCGCCGGCCATAATCCTCGAACTTCACTGTTCACTCGGCGAAGAATCCTCGGCGGGCCGCGTCGGGCTCCACGGATCGCGTAACCCGTCCGTATCCGGTCCGGAAGTTCCGCGCAGCTCGGTTGTATCGTTCACGATGGATCATCCGTCGTCGGAGGTGTCGAAGAGGAAGAGCGTGTTGCCTCGAGCAGCACCGGGACCGGACTCTCCGACAGATCGTGCGGGAATTAAGGGAAAGGAGGTGGTGGTCACAGCCCCTGACACGGACCTCACGGTGATATTTTCACTTAAGTTAACACGACCCCCCGTGAAGATGTACCCTTTGCTCGGCATCGACAACACTTCCGTCTAATAAAAGCCTAATAACGATCGATAAGCCGAGGCGAGGCTTTCTCTGCTTTCGCCGGCGCGCCGTGCGGATTCCTTCCTCTCCGCGCGGTTCGTGGACCCCCGAGGATCGGCGGGCAGAACGCGCGAGGGGAGAGATCCCCGAGGGAGAAACGCGAGAGAAATGCGTGCGAAAGGGAGAGGAGCGAAGAGAACCGGGGAGACTCTCCGCCGAGCCGATCGTTTCACGTGGCCGACGTCCAGTGAACTAATACGATACCGAAGGATGCCAAGTTCGTGCGTAATGACAAGCGGCTGCCGGCTGATAACGAAATGGCGGGAGGCGGGACCTTGACGGCGAAGGTGATACCACTAACTCGACGATCCGCCAGCCGCATACGGGCTTCCGATTGCGGCTGGCCGTACTGGCCTACATAGATTGTGTGCGGCCCTACGAGGTCCCATCGCGGGGAACCGGCGCGAAAACGATTTCGATGGGCCGAGGGAACGTGTCTCGAATACGGGAACCCTGTTTCACGGGACTTTCTGTCAGTTTGTCACCACCGTTTCTGGAGCACCGTAGACAAGTCGCGAGACGACTCGCCGGCACGGGACCACTTGTGCGGTCACGGGCGAAGAAGAGCAGGCAATTTTTGCGACGCCGCTGTCGACGAATCCTGCGTATTTATGGCCTGGCGTTCGCGGTGTCGGCGAATCGTCGATCAAGCTTTTTGCGCGAGTCGGAGTTCGGACGAGGATTTTAAGTCGATGCAGAATTTTATTGCACCGTTGGGAACGTTTTAGCATCGACGGAGATGCAAACATTTAATAAATGTTAATTTTACGTTTGGTCCAGGGTATCGTGACGATGAAATCGGGATAGAGCGTTGCGACTTTGTTTCAGGTGGACAGAAAAAACGGGGAACGAGTTTTACTCTTGAATATCGTTGTGACGTTTGACCTTTCTCGAAATAGTTTTCACCCGCATTTTACGACCAGACTGCGAATTTGATGTATTCATGGCAAAATCGAGTAGCCAGGATTTGAAATAGCGGAAAGACTGCGAGATTTGAAAAATGCGAATGTTCGATGTATTTTTGCCGGTCAGTTTATATTTCTTGCAATCGATGACAAGTTTTTATTTCGTATAAAAATCCGCGGTCGAATTATAACGTGCGTTATTAATATTGTCATTTTATTAGCACATTGTTCTCGCGCATTAATATTTCCTTTATATACGGCGAATCTTCTCTCTGTCTCTCTCTCTCTCTCTCTTCTCTCTCTCTCTCTTATCGTTGCACTCGGCTTTGTCATCGACGAAATTATTTTCCCAAAAAATATTTAATCAGTTATCGTAATACAGTAATGTCTCCCTTACCGACGCTCAGATCGTGTACAGAAATGGACAATTTGGGAAGAGGAGATACGATTATTCGAACCTTGCATCTCACTTTTATAGTTGTTGACAATCGATAACCATAAAAAAACGAGCAACAAGGCTCGAACAATCGTATCTTCTCTTCCAAAATTGTCCATTTTTGTGAATAATCTAAGCGTCAATCAGAGAGACATTACTGTAAAATAATTATAATAACAAATATTATAATATTATAATAACAAATAATATAACAACGTGGTCTGCAGCCTAATTCAAAATACCGCGTGAGAACCTATTACCCGAATCCCTCCAACTTTTCTCGAAATCGCTTCGCAGCATTTTCTGCTCCTCGCCGATTCATTCGCGCGTTTCTTTATCCTTTACGTCCTTTTTATTTCGAGAGTTGAAAAGTTGCAGCACGAGGTCAGCCATCCGACACGACGAGGATGAGTTTTTCCTTCGACGACCTATCAGCGATTCCCAGCGCGAAAGGTTCGTTCGCGTCGGATCAAACACGGACGGCACTAGGAAGAGCCCAAGGGTATCGCAAATAACTGCAAGGTTAGCAGGAGCTGAGCGAGGGAAAGTGCATCTTTACGGGAACGATAAAACAGGGCCGTGCAGAGAGTTCGTCAAATATAAAATAATGCCGGGAGACCGGTGTCTGGGAACGATAAGAACGCGTCGACCCGCGAGAGCCATTTTAGGGAATCTGGGGGAATAAAGTGGAGAGGTAACGGGCCGTGACGTTCGTGACTTCTTGCAAATCGCTTCACTCTGCCGGTACAACTAACAAAACATCGCGACTCGCGCAAAGCTTTTCAAATAAACGGCACTCACGATTGCGCTTTTTAGTAGCGGCCGAGACAAAGTGGTTGCGCGGCATCTGACGTGGAATAATTCCAAAAGCAGTCGCGGACTCGGCTTGATCTCGGACGAGAATTCTCGGGGATTTTCGAGATCCTAACCCGGATCTCGTCTCATAGACTGATTTCTTCGCGGAAATGAAATAAATTAATACTAAACCCAACGTGCCCTAAAACTAACCAAACGCGCATTGCTTTACAACGATTTCAATTCCGTATTTATTTAGACCTTCCGACAGTTTTATTATAACGTATGCTTGGATTAAGAAATCTGTTCGATCGTTTCGTATATTAGAATCTTTATAATTTCAGCTACTTTAAAACAAAAATTGTGTAACGTCATTTTAACCGACTGGATAGATTTAGTGTTCGAAACAAAACTGACAAGTTTTTCGAATCATTTAATTTGTTTCTCATTGGAATTAATAGTCATTTTACTTGCGTCAATTGCAATAGGCTTAGACAATGTTTACTCTTAAAATATTAAAACTGTAGAAAAATTTAAAACACGTAATAATATCGATGTATTATTTTGAATTTATTAAAAGTATTACAGAAAATAATAAATAGCTATTTAATGTGTATTTCTTGCAATTTATATATAACAGTCAATATTGTGTATCCGCAGTTAATACGAGCTTATAAGAAAGTATAAGATTGTATGAAAATTGATTTAACAAAATATTAATAACAGTCGTTCCAATCGTCGATTAGTAATGATGAACGAATTGCCTTGCAAATACTCGCAAAGAATTTCGATATCATGATACGATAAAATCCAATGTTTCCTGCATGTTTCAATTTTTTCAAGTACTATTTGAAGTTTCGGTTATTTATTTTTCAGGCACACGGTATATCCTTACGACGTCGTTTCTTTCTAAATTGTTCGACCGCTTTCACCGCAGATCATCCCACATATATTTTCATTATCTACGATCATAATAACCTCCCTGTTCCCTTGTTTCGTTCGAACTAGCTTAAGCTGTATGACATCATCCTCAATTGTAGAATTAAGATATGTAATTGAACAGAATGTTGGGAGATGCAACGGCAGATGCAGCAGCGCATCGACGCGAGCGATGCACCTGGTCAATCGATTCGAAAGGAAATGCAAATTATATGCAACCACTGTGACTGCAGTGTACCTGAGCCGGACAAGGGTGCAATTTCTGTCATTGAACCGTGGGCACGAACAACCATAATCGCAACTTAATATTTTTCTATACTCGAGTACAAATTTTTGTAAAATCCGCGTTCTGTGAACAACCTTTTGCAATTGAATGCATTTTATATTTAACCACTGAAATTCAACTAACTTCTGTCTTAGATGTATACTCGATAAAATATAGGATCGTGAAGAAAAACACAATTGGTTGAAAAAAGATTTAAAAACAGAAATGGTAAATCTGCGGAATAATCTCTTGTACAGCTATTTTTGATAAGAGTGGGGGGTTCGAGCAATGTGTTAATAAGTTAAGATTTATACATGCCACCCCTAATTAGACCGTGAAATTTGATGCAGACTTGCATTTTTATACGAGAATACGAAGCTATCGATTCGATAGCAGAGAATCAAAAATAGTATCTACTGCGTTATGCACAATCGAAGTTTGTATTCTGCAAGTTTGTCGAGGCTTTCGTATGCTATAAACGGTCACAATCTGCTCACAATCTCCTAATGTACATATATAACAGACTGCGGATCTTTACGTATTTATAGAATTTTTGAGGTTCGAGAACTTGGCACGGGAGTAGCATCGGAATAGTTCAATGGCGTTTCTATGCGCCCCGAAATATCCTAGACGATCTATTGTAACAAAGAAATTTCTCCGTTCGAATTTGTCGAAAGTATTACATCAAAATTTTACATCTGTAAACGTTCCACGATATTATAAAAACATTAATAAATTTCCTGTTAACAGTAAGTATCTTTTCTCTTCCATCTTTCTAAAAATCTAAATATATACACACTACATTTATGTTATAAATTATATAAAGATCGTGCTATATAAAATTTTTCATGAATTCCACAAATTAAACGATGTACTTATGAAAAGAAAAAATCAAAATCTATTTCCACCAAACTTGTTGTTCCAATGTTAACAATTTCATTGTTACGCTAACAATCTGAAAAATGTTATAAGATCCAAATATATAATTTGATCAAATTATACTTAAAAAGATAAGCTGTATGCTATCAATTACGTTTTCAACATCCTTACATCTTCGAATCCCGGTAAGATTAGGAAGACATAGTATACTACCGTAAAAATCAATTCGCAAGAGTAAATAATTCCGTCATTGTTTAATAGACTAGTTCCTCTATCGTCTAAAAAAAGCTTCGAGTCATTTAATGCAGTCTCTCAAGAAAGTTTCAAAAGGCGTGCGAAGACTTTCGCGACTAACGCCAAGGAAAAAGTGTGAAACGATAGTTGTTGACGGGAAAATCAATTCCCAAGTCTGAGTAAATAATTCCGTCATTGTTTAATAGACTAGTTCCTCTATCGTCTAAAAAAAGCTTCGAGTCATTTAATGCAGTCTCTCAAGAAAGTTTCAAAAGGCGTGCGAAGACTTTCGCGACTAACGCCAAGGAAAAAGTGTGAAACGATAGTTGTTGACGGGAAAATCAATTCCCAAGTCTGAGTAAATAATTCCGTCATTGTTTAATAGACTAGTTCCTCTATCGTCTAAAAAAAGCTTCGTTAATGCAGTCTCAAGAAAGTTATTTCGTTTCAAAAGGCGTGCGAAGACTTTCGCGACTAACGCCAAGGAAAAAGTGTGAAACGATAGTTGTTGACGAGAAAATCAATTCCCAAGTCTGAGTAAATAATTCCGTCATTGTTTAATAGACTAGTTCCTCTATCGTCTAAAAAAAGCTTCGAGTCATTTAATGCAGTCTCTCAAGAAAGTTTCAAAAGGCGTGCGAAGACTTTCGCGACTAACGCCAAGGAAAAAGTGTGAAACGATAGTTGTTGACGGGAAAATCAATTCCCAAGTCTGAGTAAATAATTCCGTCATTGTTTAATAGACTAGTTCCTCTATCGTCTAAAAAAAGCTTCGAGTCATTTAATGCAGTCTCTCAAGAAAGTTTCAAAAGGCGTGCGAAGACTTTCGCGACTAACGCGACAGAAAAAGTGTGAAACGATAGTCGTTGACGGGAAAATTCTGACGATCGACCATCCGACGAAGCAACCCCGGATTATAAGCGGCAAATCATCGTAATCTCTCCAATCGATAGCGTCGAATCGGCAGTGGACCGTCGACCACGTACCGCCGATAATTCCCGCACGCGTCGGGCCAACGAATTTACATTTTCCATCTCAGGGGCAAGTTCCTCCGATGTTAATCGACTGGGACGGCTCCCAGTAGCGCGCCAGGTGCGTACTTAGGGCGTCGCAATTGGGCGACAAGGTTGCGTTAATGGAAGTTCCGTGTCGGCCCCTGTTAATCCCGCACTCGTCGCAACGACGGGCCATTTTCAAGGTGACGCGAGCCGAGGCCCGATAACGTCCCGCTTCGGCCGCTCGGGAATCTCCTCCTTCGATTCCCCAAATTATACAATTTTTTTCCCCGCTGCCGTCCCTGCTGAACAATCGCGATCCGCGCGCCGAAACGCGCTCGAACGAGCTCTGAACGAGCTCGCGATCCGCTCGGCTATTTTCTTTTTTCCCTTCACGTGCCCGAGGACTCGCGTGCCCCACTCCGCGAGCCCGCACACGTAATCTCGTATTTTTTTTTCTTTCTCACAGCAGTCCGCGATGAAACTTTAATGAACATTCATTGTACAACGCCAATGGCTCATAAAGATAACAACGGGACCTTTATTTTCCGACGCGATACCACGGTGTTTTATACGTTATTTATAAGCTCGTACGCCTCGGTTTTCTAGGACGAGCGTAATAGTTAATGACTAATGCTCGCTCGGGATTCGCCGTGCTCGTACACCGAGAATCGTTCGTTAAACCGACGTGTATCCGATCGATCGGTGAATCGGGATGAAACTTTCATGCAGCCGGAATTACTGATGTACTTAAATGTAAGGGAGAGATGATCAACCGTGTAAATTCAACCGTCGAATAAGTCAGCATTGTCTGCTTAAGATTCCTGGCCGCGAAATTATGCTCTCGAAATTGTGTAGAAAAATTCACTTTCTCTATTCGATAGTTTTATTTATACTCAATAAAATATTGTTACGGCGACTTGTCTAAATCAAGTCGCTGTAATGTGAAACTGCCCTGTTGCGAGCAACTCCTTAAAAAACTAATGAAAGATAGAGGTTGCCACGGAAGAGTGTTACCAGCAGACAATCGAAAAATTGAAAGATCTGAAATATAATTGTGCTGAGTTGTATTATAGTTTCTATTCTTTATTGTAAATAAAATGCTGCGACGCGAGAGAAACGGAGTGATTCGCAACAATATTCTTATACGGTTAACTCTTTTTATATACACCCTGTAGGGTGTCTCAAAAATGTCTCGCAGTCCGAAAGTGGCGGGTTCCTCAGGTCATTTGAAGCAACTTTTTCCTTTACAAAAATTTTCTCCGTGGCACCGTTAACGAGTTATTAACGAAAAACAGTGACCAATGAGAGGCGAGCTCAGCTGGCGCTAGGCGGCCGAGCCAATCAGCGGAACTGGGATTCGACCGCTCGACCGCTGACGCTGTTGGCCCGGCCGCCTCGCGCCAGCCGAGCTCGCCTCACATTGGTCACTGTTTTTCGTTAATAACTCGTTAACGGTGCCTCGGAGAACATTTTTGTAAAGGAAGAAGTTGCTCCAAATGATCCGAGGAACCCGCCATTTCCCGATTGCGAGACATTTTTGGGACACCCTGTATTTCCGATGTTATCGGTGTTCCTCGTACATTCGTTGTATTCGTGAAAACAGCAATGAACTCATTTCAAAGCTTAGAAGCTCCACAGTGCGCGCGCGCAAAGAAAGGAAATCGAGAACTGGTTTCGAACGTCTCTCTCCAAAGGTATCGTAAAATTTCGAGATCACATTTTAGAAATGATTTATGTTCGATCGAGCTTGTTTCGCGTGAATTCTGCCGAAGGAACCGGTAATTGAGATCTTCCGTTGAAGCGGGAATGAGAGATCAACGGACTCGTAGCGACCTTGCAATTGGCGATGAATGACACGTTATACAGGTGATAACACGGGCGAACCCGTAGGTGCAGTCTCTGCCGTGACAACCGTACGTGACGAATCGATACGCCGTGAAGGTAATGATTGACAAGGCCAGTGTTGTATCTGCGAAGGACTGACAGAGAAATGCGGGTCGCCGGCATCCGACGCCGCATTTTTCGGAAGGTCGCCGCCGTGAGGTCGTTGACTAACGTTCTAATCCGATAGCCAATTAGTTTTATTCGATTCGATCATCCCAGCTAACAATTCCTGTTCGATAATCGTAGACGACTGAAACGTTTGATAGCGTTTTTCAGGCGTCTTTTGGCTGCGATCGAACACGGTATTACAATTTATCTGCTGCCATCTCGTTTGCAATATGTTGCATTCATTTTATAGCATTGTCGAATTGGTAATCGATAAATAGGTGAACGGAAACTGGATCTTGGAGAACAACGCACGCAACAAAGTCTACGGTCTCTGACCTGAATCTGGTATTTCAAAGTAAAGTAGAAAGAAACTGTTTTACAATTGTAATCGGGTTTTCGTCAAACCCGGAAAATTAAATGCGTTATTTACAGACAATACTGCAGACAAAACTGCATTCTTCGCAGTTTTATTTTATTCTTCTCAATTCGCTCCGCATGTTTTCTCCGACAAGGCACGTAAAAGAATTCTACCGACGTGGTCTCAAGTGCCATTCGGGAAACGATAAAATGATTAGCATAGATAATTAATAATAATTCCATTAAGTCCTCCTTTCGCGGAGACCGTCTACGACATATGGAATACGCATGAACGTTTGCGGTCTACACTCATTCGCATAACGTTTCTTCATCGAAGCATCAGCTGCTCGCCGAGGTAAACTATAAAATGAAATTTTATTTGCATTCATTACTCACCCGCAGCTGCATGACAATTTGATTGTACGCCCAATGCCACCGTTGCTTCGCTGTCATCTCTGGTCGTTCCTTCAGTTGCGTAGGCACTGGTGCAACACCGACCATCTCCAGAAGTTCTTCGTCTGGCGGTGGTTCCGGTGGACTCCTCGGCGGAGTGTCCATCTGAACGCTTTCTTCTAACGACTCCTGCTTCGTTATACTCCCTGTTCGCAAACAGATAAACAACGCACATCGTATACTTTCGACGATCTCCGCGCGTGCTACCGTTCATACGTACAGTAATGTCTCTCTAATTGACGCCTAGATTGTCCACAGAAATGGACAATTTGGGAAGAGAAGATACGATTATTCGAGCCTTGCAGTTAATTTTTATAATTACGAATTATCAACAATTACAATAACGAGCCGCGAGGCTCGAATAATCGTATCTCCTCTTCCCAAATTGTCCATTTTTGTGCGCAACCTGAGCATCAGTTAGGGAGACATTACTGTATTTGGACACTTAGCACGTGCTACAGCAATACATACGCTTCTCGATTAAATCAATATCGATCGAATGGACTGATAATTTTCAATATTTCTGTTCGCATTTATTAACATATTTTTGTTTAAAGAACTCGAACAGATTTAGGCTAGTGTTTATCAATTGCAACGGTGCTCAGACTTCTTTTACCGAACTTGTTCAATTGTAATCACAAATTCCATACCAAATAACATTTGCTATAACAGTATTGTCAACATTATCTACAGTAAATTCTCCTAAATTGTTTATTTAGGAGAATATATATTATTTGGACACGTGCTATAGCAATACAAACGCTTCTCGACGAAATCAATATCGATCGAATGGTTCGATTATTTTCAATATTTCTGTGCGCATTTATTAGCATGTTTTTGTTTAATCGTTCGAGTCCCAAGCAGCTGCTTCTTTCTCTTTTCTTTCTTTTTGTTTTGTTCGTCAATCTCGACGAGCGCTATCGCGCCGCTTGATTCTCTTCGCAATCAATTAAAACGAGCGCTATCACGCTGTTCGGCATTTTTCGACCGTGTCTTCTGAATAATCGCTGGGACTCGAACGGTTAAAGAACTCAAACAGATTTAGGCTAGAGTTTATCAATTGCAACGGTGCTCAGACTTCTTCTACCGAACTTGTTCGATTGTAATCACAAATTCCATATCAAATAACATTAAATTGTTTATTTAGGAGAATATATATTATTTGGACACTTAGCACGTGCTATAGCAATACAAACGCTTCTCGACGGAAACAATATCGATCGAATGGATTGATTATTTTCAATATTTCTATTATTTCTATTCTATTTCTAATATTTTCAATATTTGTAAATTCTTCTAAATTGTTTCTCAGCTTGTAAACAAAAATGTATAATTTGGGAAGGGGAGATACGATTACTCGAGCCTCGCGGCTCGTTTTTATAGTTGTTGACAACCAGCGATGCCGATGCTCGAATAATCATATCCCCTCTTCCCAATTTTCGTTTACAAGCAGTAGAAAAAACGAGTTAGGAGAATTTACTGTATTTATAAACGCTGCTTGCAACGATCGATGATAAAGATTTGTATTTTTGCATAGGCTGAGAACTATATTTATAAGGTATTTTGACGATATCTGCAAGCATGCAAGGGTCCAGATGCTATTAAACTCTCTTCGATGCAATTAATTAGAAACTGCGGTAAAAGTCCGAGAAGCATTGGTTACTCTTTGCAATAAATCAGACACGATGCTTATACATCGTGACTATCGTCTTACCGCGTGGGCTGTCGGTGTGAGACATCGGTGGTGTAGTCTTGAACGTGTCCACTAACGAACCCTCTCGAGACCCACGAAGTATCGTTTCATCCTCTCGTTCGTATCTTTAAAAGCAATAATTTCATTCGTGTCAATGTATTTTCTTCCTCGTGTTCTTCCACGCGTTTTACAAAATTGTACGTAAAACGCTGCGCCTTGCAATAGCAAAGCTTCGAAGCAGCAAAGATTCGTTTCAAAAAATACCGGACATAATTCTGCTATACAGTAACGTCTCCCTTACCGACGCTCAGATTGTCCACGAAAATGGACAATTTAGAAAGAGGCGATACGATTGTTCGAGCCTTGCTGCTCGCTTTTATAGTCGTTGACAATTCGTAACTATAAAAATGAACCGCAAGGATCGAATAATTGTATCTTCTCTACGTAAATTGTCCACTTTCGTGGACAATCTGAGCGTCAATTAGAGAGACATTACTGTAGTAAGCGACGATCTTTCGATTTTTAGAAAACTTCTTCCGCGTATCTTTCCTCTACTCGATAACTCTAACAAAAGATCGATGCGACCCCCGAGCCCTGCTTCGATCACTGTTCCCACAGTTCGCAGTCTAAATCGATTACGCGGACATTATGATGCTTTAATTACCTCTCCATAGAATCCTCTCTCATCTTAAATTCGTCGCTAACCGCGGTGCCTATAGGAACTTCCGGTTCCTCGATGGACTCCTGGTCTTTGAAATATCCACGCTGGTAGCTCTCAGCCCTGGAGATGGGCTGAGGTGTGGTGAAGCTCTGGGCATAGCTGCCTCTCTTCTGGTACGAGTCTGTCCTGGTAAGCGGCGGTTTGAATCCTTCCTGGGTGGCCGAGGAGAACGAGTCCTTCCTGGCCTGCTGGCCGTAGGAGTCCCTCCTGCCGTACGCCTCGTCGGGGAAGTGATCGGAAGCGTACGAGTCTCCTCTGGTGAGTTTCGGTTTCTGCGAGTGTTGGCTGATCTGCGAATGCTGGCTGAGCTGGCTGTGATGCGACAGCTGCGAGTCTTTCCTCTGCGGCTCTTTCGGTACGATCTCCGGGTACTCCTCGTCCTCGATCACCTCTTCCTGGTACGAGTCCGTTCTGACCAGTCGCTTGCCGTTAGCCGTGGTGGTCGTGTGCACCATCGCCTGCACGGTCACCCTGGTGGCGTGATTCGCCGCCACGTGGTTCACCATGGACGTCACGGACTGCACCACGGTGGTCGCCGGGGTGTCCGACAGAACGGGAGCGGCAGGAACCGAGTCGCTGACCGCAGGATACTCGACGATTCCTAGCTTGGGTTGGACGCTACCGATGGCAGTTTCTATGGGCTCGTTCAGCCCGTCTTCCCTGGACTCCAGAGAGTGCTGCTGGAGCAGCGGGCTCGGTTCCTGCTTCGCGAGCTTCTTCCTTCTGGTCGGAGCGACCGACGACGCGTCCTGGCTCTCCTGGGAAGTGTAATAGTAGTCCGAATCGCCGGAATGGTAGCCGTTGGTCCTGGTCTGACCCCTCGGCGTGGTCACCGACAACTCCGGCACCTCGCTCAGTCTTCTCTCCGTGCTGGCGGCTGGACTCTCTTTGTAGGAGTCCTCGAAGGAACCTTGGTAGGAATCTTGGTAAGGCTCCTCGTAAGGTTGCTGATAGTCCTGATAGGGTTCCTGATACTCGTTCTTGTACGTCGTGCTGACGGTATCCGCTTCGCTGTACGGCGTCTGGTAATCGACGTAGTCCTTGTCTTTGCCGTAACTGTCGTCGTAACTGCTTTGAGTCGTGACCGGCACCTGCTTGTACGCGTCTTCTTGACTGTAGCCGTCCTGTTGGTTGTAAGTGTCCTGTTGGCTGTAGGCGTCCTGTTGGTTGTAAGTATCTTTGTAGGTATCTTGTTGATTGTACGTGTCTTTGTAAGCATCCTGTTGATTGTAAGTGTCCTTGTAGGCGTCTTGCTGGTTGTAGGTATCCTTGTACGCCTCCTGTTGGTTGTAAGCATCCTTGTACACGTCTTGCTGGCCGTAAGCGTCCTGTTTGCTGTAAGCCTCCTTGTAGGTGTCCTGCTGGTTGTACGTGTCGTAAGCGTCCTGCTGGTTGTAAGCGTCTTTGTACGCTTCCTGCTGGTTGTAAGCGTCCTTGTACGCTTCCTGTTGGTTGTACGCGTCCTTGTACACTGCTTCCTGCTGGCTGTAAGTATCTTTGTACGCCTCCTGCTGATTGTACGTGTCCTTGTAACTCTCCTGCTGATTATACGTGTCCTTGTAACTCTCCTGCTGATTATAAGCGTCCTTGTACGGCTCCTGCTGATTGTAACCATCCTTGTAGGGCTCCTGCTGATTGTAGGTGTCCTTGTAAGACTCTTGCTGATTGTACGTGTCCTTGTACGACTCCTGTTGGTTGTACGTGTCCTGCCGATTGTACGTTTCCGGATAGGTGTTCTGATAGCCCGTCGACGTGTTGATGTTGTACTGCGAGTCGTAATTCTCGGCCGGGTACTGGTTGTACGCGTTGGTCACGTTGTTCTGATCGTACACGCTCGACGGCGCGGACGCGCTGTACTCCTCGTACGGTTCCTGATACGGTTCCTCTTTGTACGCGTACGTCTTCTTCGTGTCCTGATACTGGACGTTGTTCTGCTCGTATCCCATCGTCGGGTAATTGTCGTGGACCCCGGGCTTCGCGTATTGATCGTTCAACTGGCTAGTATACTGATCGTTCGGCTGGCTGGCGTTCGGATATGTCATGTCCTGATACGTATCCGAGTAAACCTGAGTGTTTGGCTGAACGTAAGGCGTTTGGTACTCGTCCGTGTACGAGTTCTCCGCGTACGTCTGATCGTACGTGTCTTGGGTAGGCGGCTCCTGATACGAACGACTATACTGGTCGTCCACTTGAGGCGCGTAACTGGACCCGAATTGGCTCTCCTCCGCGTACTGGGTCTTCGCAGACGGGTGTACCTGACTGTAACCGCTCTGCTCGGTGTACACGCTGTCAATGTAGGTTTCCTGAGGTAAGTTGTCTTGGCTGCGATAAGCGTAATTATAGTCCTCGTTGTAGTCAGACTTGTAGTAGCTCTCCTCGGAGGGCGTTCTAGTCTTTGGCAGTTGCCTGCTCGGCGTAGCAGGTAGGGAGACAAGTTTACGACTGATAATCACGTTGCTCGGCTTCGTCGGCGTCGGCGGCAGCTTCTTGCCCGTACCTTCCTGACGAGACGGCGGCCGTTGCTGCGGCTGAAGCGGCTTCCGACGACGACTACTGTGACTACTGCTGCAACAAATTAATTCTTTTGTTATTATCGTGCACTCGATGGGATCAGTTTCTTTTGCTTTATCCGTTTATTTGTTAAATGTCTTATACTACGGTCGACAGAATTTTAGGAAAATGTTAGGCGAAACGATAGATGGCTCTATCGTTTCACCGAAGATAAGATCGGGCGCCCTTGTAATTTCAGTGCTGTAAACTATGAAAATAAGACTAATATAATAAGTCAAAAAATTCGTTCATTTTGTGCGTATGGCAATTACAGTTGCATCAAATCCGCTCTTATAAACTTTACGAGAAATATAAAATAAGGAACTTTAAGTGTCGATACTGTGAGTGTTAAAGTGCCATTCGGTACAACGAAAAAAAAGAGTCCATTTTTTAAATAAAATTTAAAAAAAGGTTTCCAGATACTTCATTCTTTTTCAAATTACACCGTACTCAAGGATAATAAAAGATCGTTGGAGATTTTATGCAATTAAATAACAGATCAACTTGCACTGTTTGAATACGAATTTTAGAAACAATGGTACCGCAGTCTACACTGTTTAGCAATAACTTTGAATGCGAATTCATTTATATGAGAGACGCTTCCTTTCGTCTATTGTGTCTTTTGTTATACAAAGTTAATTATATACGATAAATCAAAGAGTACCAACAGTTTGTAGAACGTTGATGAATTTTAGATACGCGTATTGTTCGCGTAATATCTGAAGTAAATGAATTAAAGTAATCACGAAACAGCAGATACTAAGAATCGATCTGAACGCATCAAGCTCTTAACTGTACCTTAAACTATACCTATTACGTAAGAAATGATGAAGTTCTCCATGACAGATACCTGTAATTGAGTTCGTCCGATTCGTAACTCCGCTGTCTGGTGACTGTTGGTCTATAATCGGGTCGATGAATACCGATGCTAGATGCAGGCCTCTGTGGAAGCGTTTTTCTATTCCGTTTATTCTCGTAATAGGTACTAGTTCCTAAATACCACTTCCCTCCGCTGTCCCACTGTCTATCTTCGTCGTCTTGACCATACCTGGCGGCGAACAGAACATAAAAATGTTGTAAAATTATACGTTATACAATACAAATAATTCGTAATCGAATTTAACCCTTTCGCTACTACGGACCACTATAGTGGCCCTCCGTAAGATGCACTATATTGCATAATGTTTTTTATTTCCTCTCATACTATAAATTAAAGAGCGCATGCTAAGACGTTATAAATTCTCTGGAATACCCTTCTACTGCTGTCGTTGACCCTTTCGCTACTACGGGCCACTATAGTGGCCTTCCATACGATGCGCTATATTGCATAATGTTTTATTTCCTCTCATACTATAAATTAAAGAGCGCATGCTAAGACGTTATAAATTCTCTGGAATACCCTTCTACTACTGTCGTTGACCCTTTCGCTACTACGGGCCACTATACTGGCCTTCCATAAGATGCCACTGAGGTATTACGGGCCACTATAGTGGCCCTCCATAAAATTCCACTGAGGTACTACGGGCCACTATAGTGGCCCTCCATAAAATTCCACTGAGGTACTACGGGTCACTATAGTGGCCTTCCATACGATGCACTATATTGCATAATGTTTTATTTCCTCTCATACTATAAATTAAAGAGCGCATGCTAAAACGTTATAAATTCTCTGGAATACCCTTCTACTACTGTCGTTGACCCTTTCGCTACTACGGGCCACTATAGTGGCCTTCCATAAGATGCCACTGAGGTACTACGGGCCACTATAGTGGCCCTTCGTAAGATGCATTATATTGCATAATGTTTTTTATTTCCTCTCATACTGTAAATTAAAGAGCGCATGCTAAGACGTTATAAAATACCCTGGAATACCCTTTATTTATAAATATCGTTTGGAGGAAAATTTTTTCGTTCGTAAACATTCAAGCAGCTTGGGTTCTCCGCCGCGGTACTCCCGCTGACGATCGGCGTCGCGTAGCGTGCAGTGATATCGCGGCGCTCCGTTCAGCGAAAGTACCGCGGCGGAGAACCCGCCCGTAGCGAAAGGGTGAAAACCAAGTAACGTTCGAGACACTTGCCTTTCATCTTGATAAGTGTAGCCCGTGATGCTATCGTAGTACTTATTGTATCTGATGTCCGTTTCGCATTCTGGATACGTGGCGCTCATCTTGCCCACCCTGCCGTCGCTACTGTACCCGTCTGCGTAGTAAGAATGATCATCGTATAAAGTCATCTGTCTTTCCAGAGACGGCCGTCTGTGAGGACCTGTACGCATACGAAAGATTTATGGTTACCACGATGGGAAAGAAAATGGACGCAATGGTGCGCAACTTTTATCTTTCGGGTATCCCTCGAGATAGTCGTTTAACACGTTCCGTGCCGAGCTTTTTTTACTCGAATCTTCACACTTTGATATTTTACTAAAACTTGATGTATTACGTGCAATTATTAATTCTCGTACACATAACAATATAACAAAAACTTATCAACGCCCATTCTTGCGTTGGAAATTGATTCTTCGGTTCTAAATTTCTTGTAAACAATTTGTTCAGTTCACTAAGTAAACATGCAAGCGTGTACCATCGATGGTACACGTGGCACGGAACGTGTTAACGGCTGACTATTTTCCAAGAACAATAACAGTTTAATCACAACATATCCAATTCTCTTAATCGAACGAAGATACGATATAAAACTGTTTGTCATAATCGGACTGTAGATCGTTATGCATTTATTGTATACTTAAGATTCTAAAATGAATAGCATCTTTGTTTTATTTTCGTGGTAACAATTTTTTAATTTCAGACTAGAATGTTTCCCTTATTTTCATTTTGACAAAACAATTATCTACTACCTGCTAGCGGCATTATTTCGAAATTTTCGACAATTTGCATCGCATTATATCCAGGAGAAAATGAACGATGTTCTTTCGAGTGACAATTTCAGAAGAAACGAAGAAAGTATGTTGCTCTAAATAATTTGATTAAAGGATAAAAAATTGATCGAGGGATACCCAATTACTAGTTTCCAGACAGCGAATTTTATGAATTTGTGACAGAGAGAATTACGCGCGCTTTAAAACAATGAGAAGATTAAGAATATTCGTGTATTAGTCCCCGAGATTATTCAAGAAAGGATGAGAATTCTATGTGTTGCATCAAAGATCTGCAGTCCATTGATCAAAATAGTCACCGACAGGTAAAACCTTAGTTTTTATCGAGGATTTAGTAATCGTTTCGTAGTATAACGCTCACAATTTAAGTTACGAAGTTTCCTTTCGGAGCTACGGAATCTCAGCGTTCTCTATTTCGATTTGATTCGCTAGAAAGGGTAATCGCGTGGAACATGGAATATATTTAAACGGTATTCTACCTCTTCGTATGGAAGTCGTGGTGCTCGGATAGTACTCGGTGTCGCTGTAGATCCTTGTCTCGTCGACTCTGGTGCTGCCGTGATACTCGTAGCCCTCGCTGTACCAGCCGTCTTGGCTGAAACGACGAGACACGGTTGAAGTAAAGTCGCGGCGATCGAGTTCGAGTTCACAAAAGCGCAGATGAAATGATCCGAGACAAATGAAGATGTTCGCTGGGAACGTGACGTGGTTGATTAAAAAAGTCACTCCTACGGAGTTCCCGTGAACACCGCGGAGACAGTGACTGCGCCATGCAACTACCTGCGGATGTTCAGTGCATTTTTCTCTTTGATACATTGAACACGAGTTGTTATTTTAATGGCGACGCTCTACTTTCCCGTCTATTCTCGCCGCCTATCTATTCCGAAGCGAAGCTCAAATGCCTGTGAACGATCTCCCCGTCTGCTTTGTGACTTCGCTCGAAAGTATGAGCACGAGGCGATCCAGCAGCGATAGAACGTGGTCTAGACGGAACCATCGAGGAACGTCGCTCGACTGATTAACGCCGACTCCGGCGAAACTTTACGATGTTTGGTCAAAATACTGTTCGGAGGACTCTCCTCCGATGACCGCGACATTCGTCCACAGGGTGGTACGTTTATCTTGGAATCCCGTGAGATTTCTGTTATATTCGCCGACACGCGGAATTCTGCCAAGACCGAATTACGCGACGAGCACCGTATTTGATTATTTATTGCCGAGTTTCATTATTTCTACCAAAGCCATTTTTCATCGAGTAGCGAAACTCGATCCGCGACTCTGTTCGGACTAATTCGACTAATCTATCTCGACTAATTCGAAGGTGGTTCGTTGGAGGTCCCCTAAACGTCATTTTTGCCCGATACAGTAACGTCTCTCTAATTGACGCTCGGGTTGTCCACAAAGATGGACAATTTAGGAAGAGGAGATACGAATATTGCAGCCTTGTCGTTTTTATAATTGTTGACGATCGGTGATTATAAAAACGAGCCGCAAGGCTTGAATAATAATTATTCGATCCTTGCGGTTCATTGTTTTCGTTACGAATTGTCAACAACTATAAAAAAAACAAGCTGCAAGGCTCGAATAATCGTACCTTCTCTTCCAAAATGGTCCATCTTTCTGGACAATCCGAGCGTCAATTAGAGAGACATTACTGTATTCCGACTCGCGCGCGATTGCGACGGGATTCGAGAAAATGAACGAAGCGTCGTTCTCCTCGATTCCCGAATTACAGAGTAGTGCTTCTGTTCCTGTTCGGATGGATCAATCGAACGCGGAGAGTTAGGCTCGGAATCGATGGACTCCGACCAATCCATCAATGACAGATTCAAATCTATACAATATAGGAGCCGACATCGCTAAATTCTGGTAATTCAGCGTGGAAAGGCTCGGATTGGGGTAATTCAGAGCCGACGAATGCAAATCAAGTCAATTCAAGGACTAACCGCACCAAACCGGGACTGATAAACTTGATTAGGACCAGCCCAGAATCGATAGACAAGTATTCCTCCGACTAATATGGTAACAAAGCTGTACATTTGAATCAAAATAAGATTTGGCTATCATATTGGACGAAATGACGCGGATCTCTAGTACCGAGAGATCATGTGGACACTTTAGATCCATTCTAGGTTCCAGGAGACTAGGATGCTCTAAAATCAAAGACTCGAGTCTGTAGTCCTCGATTCAGGAAATCTAAAGAATCCTGATCTCATCTACAATTTAAGTTCTCGAGTTTGATGATTTCGAGCTCTCGATTGATTTTGAGTTCTTGAATTTTACAGCCTTCAAGGTTAGGCTGTAAAATTGAAATGATGCGGATCTCTAGTACCGAGAGATCATATGGACACTTTAGATCCATTCTAGGTTCCAGGAGACTAGGATGCTCTAAAATCAAAGACTCGAGTCTGTAGTCCTCGATTCAGGAAATCTAAAGAATCCTGATCTCATTTACAATTTAAGTTCTCGAGTTTGATGATTTCGAGCTCTCGATTGATTTTGAGTTCTTGAATTTTACAGCCTTCAAGGTTAGGCTGTAAAATTGAAATGATGCGGATCTCTAGTACCGAGAGATCATATGGACACTTTAGATCCATTCTAGGTTCCAGGAGACTAGGATGCTCTAAAATCAAAGACTCGAGTCTGTAGTCCTCGATTCAGGAAATCTAAAGAATCCTGATCTCATTTACAATTTAAGTTCTCGAGTTTGATGATTTCGAGCTCTCGATTGATTTTGAGTTCTTGAATTTTACAGTCTTCAAGGTTATGCTCTGGTTTCAAAACAGAGAATAAAGTGATGATTAAATTTCGAGATTAAAGATGCCCAAAAATTATGTTTTCAAATTAGTCCCTCTAAGTAAGATTACCTTCGATAGACGAGAATCTACCTATTCCAGGTTGGTTTAATTAGAGTTTCTTGTATTTCTGAGCATTTTGGAATCTCGGATTTGTCCAGACTGAATCTGCCATCTTGGAATTTTTGGATCAGAATTATCCGACTTTAGAATAAATATACACGTTTTTTAGAATCAAAATCATCATGTTCACGATTCGATAACTGTTCGGTCTTGAAATACTAGAATGCTCTTGTATATTGTGCGTGAGAATATCGATCAACGAAAGGTACACGTCGAATGTTCCGATAATTACTTACAAAAGAACACGCCTCGCCGATTTCGATGATCTTGAAGTCAACGTCGTGAGTAAATTTGCTTTTGCTCATATTCCTGCTCGATTTTAATTCGAGAGTAAAAATTTCCACGTGAAGTTTCATTCCAAATAAAGAGAATATGAATTCTAATCCGCATTACGTTAAAGCGTAGAGCTGGGCGAATTGCAACCGGTATATCGAGAAATATGAGTACACGCGAATTAAAGTCGTATTTTCGGCGAAATAAAATTTCTGCTGTATATCTAACGCAATGTTCTTCGCGGGCTTCGTATCGTGGAATATTGACTCTGGTTTCTCGCCAAGCACGCTTTATGTTTTGAGCGCCGTGTTTTGTCCCAGCGTCCGGATCAACGAAATAAATTTTACGACCGATGATTAAATGCTACGGAAATATTTACATCCTCTAGCAGTCAAATCTAATAATGAAACCAGGTTTGATTCGTTTATGAATATTGTACACAACGTAGTTTTCGAAGATGAACCGAAACGAACACACGTTTCGTGGAACGTCGAATGTCGCCATAGTGCATTGCTCTGCGACAAGAACTGATTTGTTATAACTTCGTTTGATCTCATGGTTACCTTTGACTAATGTTCATAGTATAATTTTGTTTTACTAAGTTAGGTATTTTTAAATTAGAGGTTAGATATTGAATTAGTTCTTCGATATGAGAATCGTAGAATGTTGTATCTTCATTATATTCTAAGAAAATATGTTATAACCGAATTACGAATTTTATGCATTCATGTTAAAATTCCATAGGTGGAGTAACAAAAAATGAGGACGATGGAAGAACTTAAGAATGTTTTAACATTTTCATTGATTTGTCGAAGTTATTAAAAATAAGAACAGATTTTTATTTTACTTTTATTTCTTACAATCGATTAAGAAATTATGTATTTTGCATAAAATTCCGAGATCCATTTAAAACATATCATTCGGCACACCTTCGTGTAAGTTACCCAAAACGCTGAGTTGCATAAAATGTTCCAAGGTGATCGGAATCGGCAGAGCGTGACGTTTCGTAAAAAACGATTATTGCTAGAACATTCGGCTTAGTGATCAAGTTTGCGTGTGGTAAACGTAACTGCGCGTTAAGTCTACTTCGACTAGTGCAGAAAGACGCAAGATCGAGCTAAAAAAGTGTGGCGCGCTAATGAACAAAATGCAAGATGAGTCGTGTGTGATCTAAACTTGAGCAATGCGATGATAAATCGTAGAACTTTCTCACGAAGCTTTGCTGGGGTACTTATTCGTACCTGTCCTCGTAATCCCACGTGTGCTTCCGTCGTCTGAATCAAGCAAAAAACCATAAACAATTTTCGTCAAGTACGTCGCGATTTCGCGGTCAGGGCTGTGCAACAGATTAACGCGATCGGATCTGCGTATCGCGATCGCGTATAGCAAACGGAAACAACACATTGAAAACAGGAAGAAAAGATTGCGGCTGACTATAATGCACGGCCCTGTGTTCGTTACCTTCCAAACGATCATACAAATTATATCGAAACGATAGTTTCGCGATGCAGAGAGACAGAAGTGGAGGAGAAAGAGAGACAAAGAGAGAGAAAGAGAGAGAGTTGAAATGTTTCATTGTGACAGAATTGTTTCTATTTCTTTGTAACGTGTGTCAATCTATACTGATCGCTCTGTGTGTTAGTACTCGGTGTTCGAAAGGTTGGTAAATGTCAAATACCTGTATTCCTTATAGTGTCTTGGTCTACTATTGTAGAAGAGTGGCTCGGAAGATTCTGAAGCGTGCTGAGACTGAGAATACCTTTGCGGTGGACCCTCTTCGGGATACGGTTCGTCATAACGAGGACTGTGGCCCGATCCACCATAACTTCCGTATCCACTCCGTGCCAGTCGTCCCCCAACCGTGGCTGGAATCTAATCACACATTTTCCAATTACTCTCTGCCCGCTCGATAGCACCTCCGATTCAATTAGACGCCTCTTCCCGGGATACTCGAAAATTCTTCTATCGATAAGAATTCGTTATACACCGAACGTTCCAGACATTTCTACGGGCAACATCGAGCCGGCATTGTTTTAATACTTGGTCGATTCAGTTGTGACATAAGACGAGAAGAATAGACGATACAATGGTAGAAAGCGATACTCAATTTTACATCAAACGTCGTCGTCCATAACGGAAGATGGCATTTAATTTGACGCCAGAAGGCGTCGTCTGTAGATAAAGCGTTAAGGAAAGTATTGTGAAAGAGTATAAAACAACTTTGGAGAAATAATAGATTTATGCATTTATGTTATATTGTCCGAAAAAGATATCCAGATTCTTACAGGTTTTCCTCGATTTTATTAAAATATTGCATAGTTTTATCAGCTTATTATTATTAATATCAGAATCTCTATACGTTCGTAACAGACGTTAATGAACAAATGAAGTTTGAATATGAAAATCCTATCATCAAACTATTAGAGCCACGATAAGAAAAATATATTTTTCACATCTTCCGTGTGGCGGATAACTTTGTAAAATGTAAATTTGCAATTTGTAAATATCGACACCTTATTGAACAAATTCAGATAATAATAGGAATTTAGAATAAGTCTCGGCTGTCGTTCAATGATCGATCGTTTCCATTTAAAATCGTCGATTTATAAATAAATCGTTTTCATCCCTGTGAATTCTCAATGTGCTGGAAACACAATATCGTATATCGATGTATTTGTGTAACATTTTTATACTTCTGTCAGATGAATTTTTATATTTGTCCAGGCTGGACAGGGTTTTCGACGGCGAGCAATGACGATACGTTTGCCAAACAAAAGTAAGAAAAATGTATTATATATATATATATATACGCGGGGGCAGGCATGTTTTATTTAAAGGTTATAACAAAAACGTGGAATACCAATGCGCCAGTTTTTGCTTCGATACAGCAGCGTGGGGGTAGAATGGCGATATTTATCTGATCTGTTTGCACAAGCTGTGTTTACTGTGCCGTTGTGTTTACTACGCACTAGGTCGTCGTAAGCTGTGTTTACTATCTTTTAAAGACGAAGTTTACCGTGCATAGATTAATGCGCGGCACGAGTTAACCCCCGCGATTCACCGGGGACTTCGAAACGACGCGTTCCCGATTTTTTGTTCCTACAATTATTCCTTGGAATAATCGCGACTTATAATCACCGATTGTCAAGAATTATAAAAACGCGCTAAATTTCTTTAACAACTCCAGTACATAGAAAACAAATACACAGACGTCCCTAAATTCTTTTAACATTTCCATTGTTCCAAACATCGCCGATCCATTCTTGTAAAAAGTATACAAGATCCTAATCGTAATATGTTTCTGAAAACGTGTAAATTAACCGAACAAGTTCTCACAAATGCGTCGTTAGAATCAAAAAACAATTGCACCGGGCAGCCTGCATATCGATTAACTTGTATTTTCCAAGTGCACGCCGAGAGTCCACTCAAGGGTTGAAGCACGCAAAAGGGTGAACGCGCGCGTCCCGGAGACTCGCAGTCGAGTCGAACGGTTTTCGTTGATAAAAGTCGTCGAACCCCGGCGCTACCGTTGGAAGCGGCAACGACGGCCCGCTGATCAACGAATAAAGGAGTCATCGATGAATTAATACCTGATGATCGTCCCTCTCGTAGCTATTTTCTCTCGAGGTCTCGAGGGATCTTTGAGGGGTGGCCAATTGGTTGGCAGCGGTACGGAACTGGGAAGCCGAGCTGTTTGCACCTTGTCCGCCTACTGGATAATTCAGGTCCGACGTATAGTCCGAATCCTCCGAGTAACCGGCTGAAAGTCAATTAAAATTTCACGTTATTACGGCAACAAAGTTGATCACCGGGGAGGCGCGTCCCCTCCCGCGCCCTACGAAAAGAAAAAATAACTGGCTAACCGGTGTCGTCGACGGAGACTCCATTTCGCTCGCAAAATCGCTGTCGCGCCCTATCAAATTAAACGCACGCGAGTCGACGAAAACACGACATCGTCGACGCCGCGGTGACAACCGGCCCCGATATAATCGCGCGGAATTTCATCTAGAATTTCGGGAGATCTGCCCGACCCGCGTACAGGTGAAAAAGGGGATGGAGCAACGGGCATCGTTACGATTTCTCACGCGAGCATCGATCGTCTGGATCCGCGGCGTTTCGATTCGAATTGTTTCTCTGTCTCGAGCTGTGGAATTGGTCGATATTGGAAACAGAGTGCAACAGCGGGAGTATAGACAGAAATAGTTAATGTCCATGCGAGTCTGATAACATCTAGGCATAATACTCGTCGTGTCGATGGGGCTGGGAGGGGGGTGGGGCGGAATTGAACATTTTCGTCGGGGAATAATGGAGATGTATCGTACAATCGGAGCGAACGGAAACGAAAATAGTAGATCGATGGAAGTTCTTTCGTTTGCGCAAACAAGAGGGTAGCACTGTCGAACTGTTACCATGCTAGGGTCGTAGACGTGATCATCGATGACGAGAGATCTTTGGGGTGACGAGGGGGTGGAAGACAATGTGGGGGGAGGGGGGTAAGTTATCAACGGATAATCATTCGCCGGTCGATAACGACTATAGAAACGGCGTTTTGTGCTCTGCGATTGTCGGATGAGAATGTTCGCGCGCATGACCCATGGATAATGCAATTGCAATCGCGCGGAGCACTCTAATGCTCGCTGATCGCGCCGATAACGAAGAAAAAAAAACACACACACCGTGGCCCGGCTGCGAATCGATCTTTGAACGCGAAAAACCGACCGCGCCGCCGCGCCGCGGAAACAGCCGGCCAGCGGGCGAGATTGTTTCGGAAAACGCGAGTAAAACGCGCCGCGAAATAATTATCGCAACGCCATGAATATATTCATTCGACTACACTTCTTCGCGAAAGTAACGTAAGACGTGTTTAACGGCTCTCTTGCACGCGCTCCTGCGATATTTCCGTGCCGCATTTAAATGTTTCACGCTAAAATTAACGCGCGATAAGAGAGCGAATCAAGATATTCGAAAATAAGGTAGCCAAAGAAAGAAAATCTCCTGTTTCCCGGAGATCTCCTATTGTTTGGTGTTTCGCGCGAATCCCAAACGACTGGTTCCCGGTCTCTTCCCGTGGTACGTGAAAATTTCGTGCCCCATCGTTCACTCGAACGTCTAAATCGCGAGCTGCGAGCTTTTATTTTTAGAAATGGCGTTCGTACACGGCGTACCGTACTCGATCAAATAAAAAGGCTAAGCAAGAGGTATTACAATACCGAAGCCCGTTACAAGAGAAAACTACGAACACTGTGATATGCTTTGTTAATGTAAGCGTGAATACTTCTCAACGGCCGATACGAGATTCGAGAAACTGGCAAGCTTCGAACGAATGCGAGATGTTCGGTGAGTAACCAGAATTTTCTTACTAAATCTTCATTTTATTTGGCGTCGTTTTTCACACGGTGAAAGAGACGCTGTTTCTGTACAAAACACGTTAGAGCGAATTGGTACTTTGATTTACGAACGACAAGTTATCTAATTTATTCGTCAACGATCCATTCTAATACAATCATTATTTATGCATTCGTTGAGACACTGGTGTAGAACCGAGTCAGAATTAAAATATTATAACTAGTAAAGTAAATGTGTAAAAATTAAATTACGAATTGTTTATTAATCATAAAGAAACATAAAATCACGTACTTCCTGAGTTTTCTCGTTGCCATTCGTTAAATAAATAATGCTTTTACGACGACATGCTTTCGTTCGTGTAATTCTCATTACTATTACAAATGAAAACAAATCCTTTTGCGAAACACGTCTCGGAAAACACTCGTTTCTATAAATATAAAAAGATCGATTTTCCCAAAATTCTAGGCCAGAGTACTCCCAGAACACGTTCATTGATCATTCGTTATTTGAAATGCTTCGTTAAGCGTGCTTCTTTCGCGAAATATTCAAATAATTTAGAAAACGAAAGTTTCGTACATGCTTCCTGTTCATTGGCCTCTGTGCAATATGATTTTCCGTGTCGAGATTCGCGAAATCAATTTGACAATTTTCGTGGAAAATAAGCGACCGTGAACGTCGCGTTCGGTGGTAACGGACGCGCGAAGATCGTCAGTGGAAGTTAACGAAGAAAAAGCTTGAGAAACGAAAAATGAAGCGATGAAGACTTGCTACGAAAATTCTCATTATTCCGATGATCTCGTGTGCACGTTACCGACGCAGCATGGCGAAAAAAATGTAACTGAAATTAGCGCAAGCTACGGCGCGCACGAGTGGCCGAGTCGAGAATAGCAATTGATCGGGCCATTCCTCTCGTGTTAGAGAGTATTCGAATAAAACAGCAGCCACTTAAACTGTAACTTGGCGTGTACTTACAGTGGCCTATATTGTACAATATCTGTCGTCGTGCCTGTTCGGCTCGTGCTCCCTGGTCCATCATGTTGTTCAGCATTTCCAGCTTCCTCTGCAGATCCGCCGCTTCCGTGTTCTCGGGGTCTTTCGGAAAGATAGACATCGGTGGGGATATGGTTAATCGTGTTTCTCGACAATGCACCGTCTCTACCGTCTCTCTAATCCACATCGATCAACGTCACTTTTCTTTTTTTTTCTTTCGTTTCTACTTGTTTTTTTTGTCGTCTAGTTTATGGTTTTCGTCGCTTTTCTTTTCTCTGCCTTATTTTTTTTTGTATTTTTTTTTTGTTATTTTGCTTTTCGAGACTTTCTTTCTTTCGTTCCAGTCCCGTGGACAATTCGAATGAGAAAACGGCCGGCCGGTCCCGGATCTCTCTAGCGTTTTGCGTCTCTACGATGTCTAATGAGCTTACCGACAGCATCGTCGTCGAAGTTTTTCTACCTTCGATCGAGCCGATATGCGTGCTCTTAAAAGGAAACCCGTGTTACGCGCTCGTTGTCCATTAGACGCGAGCGATCAACGAATTCCCGTACACGTTGCTTGAAAGATTTATGATTAAATTGTCCGGCGAACTGTGCCCGACGCATTAATCAACCCTCCGGATAGAAATGAACTCGAAAATCTCCGAGAGTTTACCGCTTCTCTCGCCGGGAGTTTAGCTGACCGGTCAAGATGAAATCGATCTTTTCGACTTCGATGACGGTCGTTTTTTTTATTCCAGCACAAGCGAATGTAGAAACATCGGGGTAAATTGTTACGGATACGGAGGACGAGTCACTTCGAATGTCCGAGCAAACAAGTACGTTCGATTCCGAGGACCGATTATTATTATTATTCTCGAAGTCACGTGTATCGAAATTTTTAAGAAGAACGAAGTTACTTGTGCGCAGAGTGTTTAGTGTTCTAGTCACTAAAAAGAAAAATTTAACTATCTGTAATTATCTTCTCTTACTCTTCTCTTTATTACGATGATAATATTGTATATGGTGTCGCATAATTACATTAACAACTGGAAACGCTGATTCCTGAGGTTATTTGAAGGAACTTTTTCCTTAGCGAAAATGCGATCCGCGGCTTCGTTTACGAGTTATCAACGAAAAACACTGGCCAATCAGAGGCGAGCTCGCCTAGCGCTAGGCGGCCGAGCCAATCGGCGGCCCAGGGCTTCCACCGCTGGTTGGCTCGGCTGACGCGAGACGGCCGAGCTCGCCTCTCATTGATCACTGCTTTTCGTCGATAACTCGTAAACAAAGCAGCGGATCGCATTTTCGTTGAGGAAAAAGTTGCTTCGAACGACCTCAGGACCCGATTGTTAACATAATTATGGGACATCCTGTATACAAGAATATTATATTCTAAACTAATTCTAAGTATGCTAAAATGTAACATTTTCGAATGAAACGAGCAATAGCCATATCGTATGAAATTTCACTCGATGCAACAAACGTTTTCTTCCAACATTAATACACGTGACAATTTGTTTAACAATCTCATTGCTCTTCCTCGAAATATTAGCTAATCTAGAATATTCATCGCGAAGCGTTATAAAACTATTTTACTATCAACAGTTGTCGTTTTAAACGTATTCTTTGATACACTAATGTGACACATTAAATAATATGCAAAATATCAACGTCGCTCGAAGGAGAACGTTTTATACGTAACTGAATTTGTCTTTTTGTCAGCCAAGATCGTAATCCGAAAATATGACCTTTAAATGTTCTCCATTGAAATAATTAGCCCTTTGACGCAAACGAATTCTTCCTCGGACATTTCCTCGTATCATTAAAACCAGACTCTAAATGTTAGATGACTCGCCCCATACGTATTCACTTTGGGAGAAATTCATCCACGAAAGTGGAAATACAAGTGAAATTTTGATGGAGTCGCTAATTAAACTTTGACCTCTGCGCATTTAAGTTTCATTAAAGGTTGGATCGTTCGCTTTCGGTGGCCGCGACAGGTTAAAACATATTCGGTTCCGATGTTTCTGAACGGCCTGTACAGGGCACAGCTTATCCCAGCGTTGCCGTTACGGCACGTATTCATTTCGATGATTACGCTTTTAAATAACAAATTCGTTAAGCGTATAACACACGCTCAACAAATTCGAATCAATTACGGCGATAACGCCGGGCGCGCTTGAATGCACGATAACCGGTTAATTCGACGCGATAAATTCAACGAAGACCCTTGACATTCTGAAAACTGTACTCGCGATCACTGCTCGTAGATCGTGCGCTGTCTAATTTATCCGTGAACCATAATTACATGCTACCCAGGCATTCTGAGCTACGCAAATTGACCTGCGGTCTTATCCCGTTTTGGTACTTAATAAATACTGCCGTTGAGTGCTGTACAGGATGATTATAAACCGGCGTCGCAACATTTCCCAGCTTTCCCCACAATTTGACGCGAATAAATTAATGTTTATCGATACCGATTACGAAACACCGGAGATGCAATCACTTTAAGTACCAGGTCCATTATTGTTCGCAAGTCTAATCAAACGGATAACCATCGATTACGCGACAGCCACGAGACTTTCGGCCACTTTTGTTAGCAATAATTTGAATAAGAGTCTTGAAATTTGTGAACGGAAATTATTTCGAAATACAGTAAATTCTCCTTAAATTTTCCTTCAGCTTGCAAGCAAAAATATCCCCTCTTCCCAAATTGTCCACGTTTGTTTACAAGCCGAAGGAAAATTCGGGAGAATTTCTTGTATATTTCTTCGTATATAATGAAAAATTAAAAGTAAATACCATATGAATATGGTTTTTTGAAAAACATTTCATTTCTGTCCACGGAGATATTGAAATTCTTGCTACCGTTTATTGTCACAATGCGTACAAAACATTACATATTAAATAACCTTGATTTTCTGAATATCAAATGGGGGTTGATAAACTATTCGATTATATATTTTTCTAAGTATCACCGATGGAGCGTAAAACTTTAATATAACTTTCTGACGAAGTTGCAATTTTTAGAACAACGCATAAAATAAAATTAGAGATTGATCGAAGATTTTTTGCAGATATAATAATATATGTACTTACTTATTATATTTCTTGGGAATAAAGCAACCGTAGCTCGATTAATTCAAGTACTCGCGCATCAATTTTATTTGTAACATATTTCCAGCAACACTTCGTCGAGATCAACGTTACTCCTTTTATCGGACTTATTGGACATAAAAAATTAGAATTTAGGTTGAACGTTTACAACCCCTGGCCAAAATAGACCCAGCCACGGCCGTCCGCGAATTAAATTAGCTTTTGATCGTCTTACTCCGAAGAATATGTCAAAATGTCTATCTAAAGTAAGAAATTGGGACGCATCGTAAACAACCCCTGACCATTTAACCTTCCATCAGAAACGGTTTCACCTAAATCCGTACATGTCATGTCTCTCTGATCATTAACCTCTATATGTATATTCTTGGAGTACTTCAACCATTTTCTGTTTCCAGATATCGATAATTATAAAACATTTACTTGCGTTATAAACTGACACAATTCCGTGACATATCAGAGAATAAACGAAACACTGGTTAAACGAAAGTGAAGACTTTTTATGTAATTATTTCCGATAATGTATAAGGTTCGATGCTATTTTTTTTCTATTCAACTAGTCGAGTCTTGAACTACTTTATAGAATATGGAATCTTTAATAAGAGGAAGATATTATCGATCACTTTTATATTAGTATTGCATTAGCATTACATAGTATTATTATTATTATTATTATTATTATTATTATTATTATTATTATTATTATTATTATTATTATTATTATTATTATTATTATTATTATTATTATTATTATTATTATTATTATTATTATTATTATTATTATTATTATTATTATTATTATTATTATTATTATTATTATTATTATTATTATTATTATTATTATTATTATTATTATTATTATTATTATTATTATTATTATTATTATTATTATTATTATTATTATTATTATTATTATTATTATTATTATTATTATTATTATTATTATTATTATTATTATTATTATTATTATTATTATTATTATTATTATTATTATTATTATTATTATTATTATTATTATTATTATTATTATTATTATTATTATTATTATTATTATTATTATTATTATTATTATTATTATTATTATTATTATTATTATTATTATTATTATTATTATTATTACTATTATTATGATATAGTATTGCACTAGCACTGGTATAATAATTTTAGCAGTCTACGTCCAATTAATTATTGTGACTAAATATGTGTACGAATAAATGTACATATAGTGATAATAAATGAAATAGTAATATCATTGTGCAATAATTAAAAAGAACAACGTAATATTGTAATAAATGGAAACAATAATATTATGGTAACGATAAATATGTTTTGCAACACAAATTCAGAATCATCCTGTACTTGAAAACATCCCCGTATCGCAAGCAAGATCTCCGCCATAGTTTCCCAATATTTGTGATCAGATTACAGAGCTTTACGCATTATGCGACATGTATATGCAAATTTATCAAATGCAAATGAACGTATAAGCTAACGAAACATAGCAATATTTTTATTTTATCTTTACCCTTTCGAATTTTATTAATCGGTCAAGGAAATACGCCCCTGCTTGTAATTTTTATAAAATAACCTATGACAATAGGCGTTTACATAAAGGCCTGCAATTTATTTATAACTTTCAACCCTTTCTTAAAAGCATCTTATTGTACACTCGCATCAAATGAATTTTCTAAATGCAGCATTTAACTGTGAATATTAATCTTCAGAGGAACATTTCATTTGAATCATTCAATTTTCCACCTGCAAATTTATTACCCTATAGACAGGTTTCGTATATTCAGGCATTTTTTACGAGAAGAATTTAACTTTCGATTGGAAATATGCCGATCCCGTGAAGGTAAAAAAGCTAGAATTAACACTTAACAGATGTATCGTTTTTTCTCCGTCTTTCTCGGTTTCAGGGCGCATTGCAGTTTTATTAAATCAACACTATTATTGATAAGATTTTACAAAGTTATTTATTCACATGTCTAGCATTAATAAAATAT